CCATATCTGGGTCAGAGGGAAACAGTGCCTGGATTGATTAGTGATGCCTGCCATGGCCGTGAGGGAGCAGTGGTGAGAGGGGAATGTGTGCTATCCTTCATTCTTATTTCCATCTGAGCCTAAGTGGATCTTGCTCCTATTCATTCAGAGAATTCTAAGAGACCAGGTGACTTTCAAGACCTAAGAGGAGGACACTGGGAGGATTTGGACCCAACTTGCTGTGTGACCCTGAACAAGGCCCTTTTCTTCCTGTACCTCAGTCTCCCTGTTTGTACAACGATCAAACAGGGATTGGTGGCAGAGCTGGGATTCAACCCCCGGTCACCTGACTCCATCCTATCCCTCTGCAACTGGAGGCCGAACCCTCACATGGTGATCGGGCCTGGGGTGGTTATGGCTGGAAGCATGCCTTGCTCACGCTGTGGGTCCACAGACCTCCTGAATATCCAATAGGTTCCCACTGTGGTCTCCCCAGGATATGTTAACCTGGGAGGCCACTTGCTGGGGATGGCAACCAGGTTGAAGGTTCTCAGCAGGACTTGTCCCCTTTCCACTTCCATTCACCCCATAGGTTCTCTGCAAGTTGCATGCTATGGGACTAACAGAAAAGTAAGCTATAGACTCATGAGTGTATTCTATGTCAGAAAGTGATGTGTTAAAAAAAAAAGGCAAGGTAACGAGACGGGGTGACAATGGGCGGAGGATGCCCGAGGAAGGCCCCTAGGGAGGGTCGTGTAAGCAGACACTGGAGTGGTAATAAGGAGTGAGTCCTGCAGACAAAGGTGGAGGCCTTCTCGGCAGAGGGTAGAGCTCATGCAGAGGCAGAGGTGCTGGAGGGACAGCAGGAGGCAGGTGTGGCTGAGGCAGAGTGAGCGAGGGCTGTGGGGAGCGGTGAGGATGCTAACAAAAGTTGTCTCCTGCCATCTCATTCCCCTCTTCAGTTCTCAACACCCACCCCCACCATTTACAAACCAACCTCCGCATCATTCTTCCTTCTGCCCGCTCCTCTGTCCAAGGCTTGTCCCTTCCTTGGGCTTTGTCGAAAGTCCCCCCTCCCACTCACCCTCGACCCCTTCCCTCCTAGACACCTCACTCCAGCCTCAGAGCCTTGGCGCACATTTTTCTCTCTGTCTCCAAGGCCTCCCCATCCCTCTCACTTGGCTGTGCATCTTTTCAGGTCCAGGCAGGCCCTGCATCCCCCTACCCCAGTGGTCGGCAAACTCATTAGTCAACGGAGCCAAATATCAACAGTACAACGATTGAAATTTCTTTTGAGAGCCAAATTTTTTAAACATAAACTATATAGGTATGTACATTGTTATTAACTTAATTAGGGTACTCCTAAGGCTTAGGAAGAGCCACACTCAAGGGGCCAAAGAGTCGCATGTGGCTTGCAAGCCGCAGTTTGCTGACTACGGCCCTACCCCAACCCCGAAGCTTTCTCTGGTGCCCCAGGCTGGGTCAGGGCTCCCTGGTCTTCCTCAGTTGCCTGCATTTCACCCATGTAAGTAGGACTCACCCACAAGGTTGTTTGTGAACTCCCAGGATCGGGAGAGTGTTTGATTCCTCTACATTCAGCAAGGAGCTCAGGGTTTGGCCAGATGTGCAGATCACACTCCTGTGGTTTTGAGCTGAGGCCTCTGGCTTTCCAGACCCCTTGGGCCCTTGCTTGTCCTCTAACCTGGGACAGTTTAGTGCTAGCTACCCTGACCTGCTTGCTGCTAGTGCTCCCCTCTCCCCGAATAACACCCCCACTCCCATCTTCTTAGCCTAAATCTTCTGCATCAAAACCCAACTGGAGCCCTGGCCGGTGTTCTCAGTGGTTAGAGTGTTGGCCTGTGTACCGAAGGATTGCACGTTTGAATCTCAGTCAAGGGCACATAACTGAGTTTCAGGTTCAATCCCTGGCCTGGGTGGGGCGAGTGCAAGAGGTCACCATTTGATATGTCTCTATCACATTGATGTTTCTTCCATCTCTCTCTCTCTCCCCCCACCCCTCCCACTCTCTCTCTCTCAAACATAAATAAATAAATAAAAAATCAATGAAAAAATATCCTCGGGTGAGGATTAAAAAAAAACAAAATATACAAGGAACCAAACAACAACTGGAGCCTGTTTTGCCTGGGGCAGCAGAAAGCACACCAAGACTCAAGAATCAACTAGACCAGCAATTTTCAACTGGTGTGCCACAAGTCTTTTTTAAAACATGCAATACCTGACTATTTAGTCAGGGGCACTGACCTCTTTTCCCTTATGGGGGGGCCGGGGGGGACGTGGTGGTGGCACGAATGTCTGCCCAAGGGCTGTAGAAGGCCAGAGAAATCATTAGGTCTAGCCCTGCCAACGCATTAGGGCTGAGTTAATTAAATACTTGACCAAATATAGCAGGCTAATTTTTAAGTAGATAATTTTATATGGCCTGCAAATAATGTTATAAATATCCAAATGGTTCTCGGCAGAAAAAAGGCCCCCCACTCCTGCCTTAGATTGTCAAATTTAAAAAAATGACAACAGCGAACACAACAATAGCCATAACTTTGAATGAATCAAAGTTATACCTATATATTTTTTTTTGTCAGATTGGCAAAAGATATAACATACTTTTTGGTGTGCTGCAGAATTTTAGTAATTATGTGTGCCATGGCATGGAAAAGGTTGAAAATCACTAAACTAGACTTATACACAGTGTGATATGTGCCTAGCCCTCAGCTTCCTTATCCACAGCCTGGGCACAGGGAGTAGCAGGAAGCAGATGGTTCATACCTGTCCTGTCTCCTCCCTGTGGCTTGGAGTCCCTGAGGTGCTGCACTTATCTCTGGATCCCTTTTCGTGCCCACAACATAGCAGCTTCTCAGCAGATATACACAGAAATGTACAGAGAGGCTGCACTTTATGGTTTATACTTTGCATAAACGAATTCTGTGTTCCCTCCTCATGGAAATTCTTATCGGCATCCCTTCATTGTGCATGTGCAACTGGTACTGCTGAGCCAGGAAGACTGAGAGGGAGGGGCCTGCATCAGCGTTGGAAAGACCCCTACCAGACATTTAGAGAGGTTGTGGGACCCACTGAAGGCCCACCCCTGAGCCTGGCCTACAGATTCCAGGTCCTGAGAGCAAAAGCCTTGCGCATTCCTGAGTCCTCACCATGACACCAGGAGGTGGGCAATATCATGCCTCTTTTATAGCCAAGAAACCGGAGGGACAGCCAGTAAACGGCAGAGGCAGGACCTGACCCCAAGTCTGGGAACCATCTCTGTGTTCCTCACATGTCTCCAGACACCTGTGATTGATAATAATTGGAGAGGAGCCTTTTCTTTTCTTTTTTTTTTTTAATATATTTTATTGATTTTTTACAGAGAGGAAGGGAGAGAGATAGAGAGTTGGAAACATCGATGAGAGAGAAACATCGACCAGCTGCCTCCTGCACATCTCCTACTGGGGATGTGCCCGCAACCCAGGTACATGCCCTTGACCGGAATCGAACCTGGGACCTTTCAGTCCGCAGGCCGACGCTCTATCCACTGAGCCAAACCGGTTTCGGCGAGGAGCCTTTTCTTTCCCTCTCTTTCTTTTGGCCTTTTTCCCATTGGATGCAGCTTTTCGAGTGGCAGCTGTGCTGGGAAGAATAGGACATTCAGTGCCCAGTAGGAAATGCCTGGCACTGAGCTGGAGGTGGGCGCTGAGAATTGGTCAGCACCTCCATGCCTCCATGCCTCCCTGCACGTCCATATTGTGTTGTTGCTTGGAGACCTGGGAAGGGGGGAGTGGCCTCACCTACGTGGTGACCTGGTGTTGACTGTGGAGCTGGGGTGTAACTCTAGGCGGTGTTTACAAATGGAAAGTGGCTGGAGTCCCAGGAGGGAAAAATAACTGCCTTGTTGGAGTCTTGTCATCTGTCTTTGCTGTCCCTGGACTCTGGGCCTGGGTTATGGCTGTGAGGGCAGGGACCTGGCCTTAGGGTTTGGTTGTTTCTTGGCACCAGTAGGTAGTATGTGGGGATCCTGCCACATTTAGCCAGCAGTCACAACCAATGCCAAAATCATGGTCTTGTGCTTGGGAATACTACCTGGACACACAGTTACCTCCCAGCAACACACACACACACACACACACACCACATATGGTTTTGGGGGGCCCCAAAGCTGAGGAATTCTGCAGCTCTTGAAGCACTTGTTCAGCATCTACTCTATACGAGGCACACACTGGCCACAACATGGCTGGAGGTGCTGCATTTGACCTTGGCAGCTTCTTAACGTCCCTGAGCCTGTTGCCACAGCTGGAAGGTAGGAATACGAGCACTGCCTCACCATCTTGTAGGCCAGGATCAGGATGAGTGCCAAAGCCTCGAGTGGGGCTGTTCCAACTGCCAAACCCTATTCAGGAACTAAGGCCTATATAAGTTTGTGCAAATTAAATCACTTGGATTTTCCAAATCTTAGGATATTTCTATTGATTTTATATCATAAACTGTATGGAATTCGAACTAAACTCTACATGTCTTTGGAATAAAATACATATAGGAGTTATTAACAAATACCATCCAATACATATAATAAAAAATACATATTGGAGCTCAGCCTGTGTGGCTCAGTGGTTGAAAGTCAACCTATGAACCAGGAGGTCACAGCTTGATTCTCAGGGCACATGCCTGGGTTGTGGGCTCAATCCCCAGTTGGGGGCGTGCAGGAGGCAGCCAATAGATGATTCTCTCTCATCATTGATATTTCTATATCTCTCTCCCTCTCTATAAATAAAATATATATATTCAAAAAATACACACAAGAAAGAAAAGAAGAATGCATGTTGTTTACTCACAATAGCTAAGACATGGAAACAACTTAAGTGTCCATCACTAGATGAATGAATAAAGAAGATGAGTATAGATACTGTGGAATGTTATTCAAACATAAGACAGAAAGAAATCCTGCCACTTGCACAACATGGATGGACCTTGAGGACATTATGCTAAGTGTAATAAATCAGACACAGAAAGACAAATACTGTATGATATCATTTATATGTGGAGTCTAAAAAGTCAAACTCAGAGAAACAGAGTTAGAGTGTTGGTTATGAGGGGTTAGGGGGTGGGGATAATGGGGAGATATTGGTCGAAGGATACAAACTTCCAGCTAAAAGATTAATAAGTTCTGGGGATCTAATGTACAGCAATATATCTATGTAAATATAGATACAGGTAATAATTCATTAGTACTGTATCATATACTTGAATTTTGCTAAGACTAGATCTTAAGTGTTCTCACCACAAAAAAAGAAATGGTAACCATGTGACAGTGTTGTAGGTAGTCAGACAGACATGAGCAGAGCAAGGACAATGAACCAGGTACAGAAGGTCACCAGAGCAGAACACCCCGACACCTAGCAATGGGAAACGTTCAATTCGAGACCTTGCCCCTAGTGCCTCTCCACCCTAGAATGGCAGGTGTTTCCCTAGGACCCCTCTCCACTCTAGAATGTCCCCCATCATGCAGGTGGGATTCTCTTGACCTCTTCTCTTCTGGCATGTGGTTAGTCACGTGGTAGACCCCCACCTGTAGAGGAGAACAAGGGGTGGGGGGCTGGAGGAAAGCCCCATCTAACTTCTGTGCAAGGACAGAAGATGACAAGATGACAGGACAGGCCCTGATAGGTCAGTTTGAAGAGGAAAGCAGTTAATTCCCCTCCGAGAATTTGAAAGGAATCCTAGCCCACTCCCACTCTTTGAGTCACCGGCTTGACATTTCTCTGGGAATATCCTTTGTCTTTGCATGCTCAAATAAATGTTCTCTAGCGAGTTTGGGTCTTGGCTCTGAATTCTCTTCTTAGCCAGAACCCAAGTACCAAGGTTGCTGAGCCCTGCCAGGTTTGGTCTGGCCCCACTGGTCAGACACTAGGTGCGGTGCCCGCCACCTACAGCAACAGGATAGAGGTGTTAACTAAAGCTGTGGTGATAGTAAGTGCATCAGATCAACACATTGTACACCTTAAATCTGCACAATGTTTTGTGTCAGTTGTATATCTTAATAAAGCTGGGGGAAATTATTTTCTAAAAGAATACATGCTGAAGTGTGTAGGAAACCATGAAGGTAATGATGAGCCAACCTTGGAGGCATGGACAGAATATTTCCTCCCAGCCAAGGGCTTGCCCTGACTTCCTCAGGGTGTCTTGATGGAGGAAAGTTGTTGATTTTAATCAACTAAAATAGATCTGCTTCTTTTTTTCCAGCACCTTGTCCCCTGTTTGAGAAATCCTGGTTTCACCAGGCCGTGAAAACTGCGCCCGATGTCCCCTGCTCGAATCCATCTTCTATCTCGAATCCTTTCTGTGCACGGAGTTGTGTAGGAAGTCAGGTCTGTGGCTTTCCATAGGATACCCAGTCATGCCAGCACAATGTGTTGAAAGAAGTTCCTGTCCCCATTGAATGGAAGTGGGGCTTTTGGGTGTGGCAAGCTCCATGCCAGGAACACAAGAGGCGGCTGCCTTATGCGATAGCGTGGGTGAAAGTCTATAGGTTTTATGGTAAACAAGAGAAGCCAGACACACAGAAACACATTCCAGAGAAGCCTCTACAGTGGAACAGGGCGGCTGTGGACACCCCGGGGCCGGGTGTGTCTGGGAGGAGCCTTGGGAGGGCCTTCTGGGGTGTGGAAATGTTCTGTGTCTTGACCTGGGTGCGGTGGCTCCACAGGTGTGTGCAAAGAGAAAAAATCAATGAGCTGTGCCCTGAGATGAGCTCACTGAACTGTTTGCATGCTATATGCTAATTTAAAAGAAAGCTCTTGGAGCCCGGAAGGAGGGAAAGATCCATTCACACGGAGGTGTTTGTTGTGGAGGCTGAGAAGAAGCTTTGCAGAAGGAAAAAAGAGGCAGCGCAGGCTGGCCTGGCCCCCAACTGGGCCCTGCTGTTTCCTATCGGACACAGGCTCACAGAACACCCACCTCAGACAAGGCCCCTTTGGGACCGTGAGACAGCGATTCGATTTGCAGCAAGTACACTTTGCAGTTGTGTCTCAGGCCAGACAAAACAAGGCCCCCAGGCCACCCTCGAAGTACCAAGCACATCTCTTCTCTCAGGCCCCTCTTTCAGCTACGATGCATACCGACGACAGCTTTATCATTACAGCTTAATCATGTTTTTAGTCTCCCCTTTCGGTGGGTGAGATTTATTGAGATCCCCAATCACAGAATTTTACTCACTTTCTGGCAGCATCCAATCTACCTTAGGCCCTGCTACCTTAGATTCTCCTCCCAATCACCCAAGGAAGTCCAAATCTGTTGACACCCCAGCCTTCCCAGTGGGTGTGAGTAGCAAGGTGGTCTGTGCCTGAGGGCATCTTCAAAACCTGTGGAGTCTGGAAGAATGATCACATGTCTGCTAAGCAGAGAAGGAAGGAAGGGTACTTCAAGCCAAAGGCATAACATGAGCAAACACTTTCATAGAAAGTGGAGGGAAGAGTGTTTGTGTCTGGGGCTGGAGAAGGGGGGTACTGTGGAGGTGGGCTGGGGCTGGGGTGTAACTCATGTCAAATGACAGCTACAGAGCAGGGCTAGGACCGGGTGAGGCAGGCCCTCCTTCAGTTTTACATCCAAGGGGCCTCAGTCTCCTTACCCTAACGCCGCCTTGGTTGAGTTTCTGTAACTACTTCTAATTCAGGGCCCAGCCCTAGGCCTGAGCTGGCTGTCAGCCATGTTGGTTCTGGTCAGGCCTCAGCCCAATGCGAAAGGAGTGCACGAGGCTGTCACCAGTGCCATCTCTAAGCTCAGCCTTGTCTCCTGTCTGCAGTGACCATCTCCAGCCTTCACCCCACCATACACTGCCCACCCTCTGTCTTTCCAGCTCCTGGCACCAGACTTGGTGTGGAGCCTGGGCAGGGGCCCAATCAGCCTCCCACCCTAATCGCCAAACCCACTCAGGTCCCTCCCACTGGGGCTTCATGTCTCTTTCCTGGCCCTGTTACCACAGAAGGAGTTGGCAGTAGCGCCTCCACCCTGAGGTCAGCCCCTGAGCCCCCAGGGTCCGCAGCCTCTGTCCCCTGTGCTCCCCCTACCCACCATTGGATATGGCCCTTGCTCACCAATTTAAAGACTAACAACAAAAGCCTTCCTGGAACGCTGGCCCTGTGGGGAAGCATGGTACTTGGTTGGAAAGTTTGTAAGGAGGACATTCCGAGATAAGGAGGAGTACTGAAGGTGGCCCACCCTGTTTATTGGAATGTCCCCCTTACAAACTTTCCAACCAAGTTTCATGCTTCCCCACAAGGCCCCTCCACTTCTCTCTCCCCCTCCCCCAAGCTGGCCTGCTCTCCATTCCCTCCTGTCAAAAGGCATGGCCTCTCTGGTCAGCCCAGAGCCCATTTTGGATCCCATCTGACCTCTGACGCCTGGAGCCTCTCTGGGCTGACTCCTCCTCCCGTGATTAGTGAGCCTTGGATGTCCGAGCTCTGGGTGTCTCTGTTCGTAACCTCACTTCTTGGGGGACTTCACCTCCTCTGCTGGTTTCTATGACCCAACACCTAATCCCCAGACCCCTAGATCCTACCTACCATCTGCCAGATACTTCCAACTGAGCTCCCCAAATTCCAAGCACCCATCAGGCTGGGCTCCCTGTATTAAAGATTAATGTGCAAGGAATGCAATAGGAAGAACTCCCAGGAGAAACTGGTAAAGGTGGAGGGGCAGCAGGATCTGGAAGGGGAGGGAACCCAGCAAGGTGGGGATGGGGAGTGGGGGGTGTGTGCTCCGGCTGCTTCCCGGAGAGCTCTGGAGGGCAAGTCACACTGCAAGCTGCCCCAACTGGAGGCAGGGTTCTGGGCTTGCACATTCCTCACCCACAGTCAGGGTGTGGGCCGCCCCATGGGATGTCCATTCCCAGGCATAGCAACATCGGAAGGCAGCCTGCCAAGGAGATGCAGGAGCGGGCCAGCCATAGGACACACATTTAAGGGGAGGTGGGGAGGACAAAGATCTGAGAAGACAGCATCCAAGACTATGCCCACTGGATTTGCCATCCAGTGAGTGGTGCCTCTGGGACCCAGGCCCAGGTCAGTTTAGTCCAGGCTTCTGGGCCAGCTTCTCCTCTAAGCCCTGCACTGGACATAAGCAAGGCTTGGGGGTGGGAGGTGGCACAGAGAAGCCCAACCAGGCCTTGCCCCAAGAAACTCCTGGTCTAGCAAGAAAGGCACACCACTAACAAGGCCAATAGGAACCCCTGAGACCAGTACATGACCAAGGGAAAGGGCTGCTGCCACGCCCTCCCCCCTCCTCAAGGAGTCGGGGCTCTGGGGCTGGGGGGCCTGAGCAAGGACAGTCACAGCTTAGACTTGGGGCAGGAAGGTGGGTCAAGGAAGGCTTCACAGAGTGACGAGTCATTAATCAAGTGAAGAGGTGGAAAGGGTGCTCAGGCGGGAGACACAGCAAGGGCAAAGGCAGGACGCAGGACGCAGCCAGGTTTATACAAGAGCAGCAAACACTGGTTTCCCCTGGAAGGCCCATGACTTGACCCAAAAGCCACCTGGACTGTTTTTGATTTAATGGTTTTCTCTAAAGTACTCATTTTTTTTAATTTAAATAATTTTATTTCAAAAGGGAACTTTATGTTATTAGAAAGAAAATACCACTTTGCTAGAAAAAGAGAAGTGACTGAAAGTAAAGATGCTACAAAGTTCCAGCTGAAAGCTGCTGCCTGCTAGGCTCTGAGCCGGAGCCCTGCCCTCGCTTCCATTAAGATAGTTCTGCAGTGGAAGGCATGTCAGCACCTCCTGGCCTGCTGCAGCTGGCCGTCTGAAAGAGCCAGGCGGTGTGACCTAGTGCGGCTGTGTGCTTTTATGCATCTCAGACTCTGTAGGACCTGATTTTGGCCAGGCAAGCCCAGCGCGGTGGGCCAGGGCCAGGTTCAGAGAGATCAGGGGGCAGGCTGAGCCAGGAGAGGAGCCTGGGTTTTCTCACAGGGCACTAGGGAGCCATGGGAGAACTGTGGGCAGGTCTGTGACATGGCCCATCGTGGTTCAGGTTTTGGCCTGATGGTGTCCAGGACTCACCTTCTCACAGGGGGGTGCCTGGGACAGTCTTCTCTGGAGTCCATTGGGCTGAATTTGGTCCCTCAGCCTTCCTTCCTGGTCAGTGTGGCTGTGGACACAGGGACAAAGGCATGCTCTCAACCTGCACAACTGCCTGCGACCAGAGTGGCAGAGCGGAGGACTGGAGGAGGGGTTCTCCAACAGCTCTTCAAGTTTGGACAGTCCCTGTCTCTCCTAGCCCTCTGGGCATGTATGCAAATGAAAAGACCTCTGTGTTGTACCCCAATCTAGAGATAGTAGTAGAAATGCAATGGATTTGGGGAATCACTTGGTGTTCCAACAACTGACTTTAGTGCTTCCAACCACTACCCTCCCTCCCTCCCCTTCTTCCCTCCTTCCTTCCTTCCTTCCTTCCTTCCTTCCTTCCTTCCTTCCTGCCTTCCTGCCTTCCTGCCTTCCTCCTCCCTCTCCTTTCCTCTCTCTCTTTCTCCTCACAGATTCCTGCTTTTGCTACACAGACTTCCACATTTGCCATAAAATCCTTCCCCCACCCTCCCCCACAATCATAAACTTTCCTTTAAATTTTTTACAAAAAAAACAAATGATGATTAATATTTTTCCAAGGGATTAAGTAACTAAAACCAAGCTTTTAGGTGATTCAGAAGTTGATATCTTCAACACATCCCTTTCCAAAAATAACAACATGACAACAACAAAACCCACGCCCAGACACAAACAGGCTCAATTGGACACCAAAGTGGGAAGGTTTCCAAAAAAATAAAAAAAATATTTGTCGAAGGTTTAACAACCAAACTGACACCCCCTTTGGCTTCCAGACTCTGATCAGAGCAGAACAATGGGGCAAAGACAGGCATGTTCCCCCGGGGTGCGGGCCCATGTCAGCACATTCATCAGTGGTGGGTCTGGTCCTGTCGAGGCCTCCTGAACTGGCTTCATGCTCCTGGGCCGAAGGGCAAAGTGACTCTGCTAGGCAGCCTCCTGGTTTGGGTGTGGAGTGCCTGTGTTTCTCCCCACAGTGCGCATCCCCTCCTCCAGGAGACCCCTTGTGTGACCACAGGAGCCAGACTGTGGCTGAGGACTCCTTCCTTCTTGGGCTGGCATTCAGTGCTCTTCCCAGCCTCCTACACTTCTTTCCTTCAGGCTCAGTCCTTCCCAGCATGTATCTGGTGGTTTCCCACCTCTGAGCCTTTTTAGCGGCTTTTCCCTCCATCTGATATACTCCTCCTGCCATTCATCCCAATATTCAAATTCTCAGCATCTTTTAAGAGCAAGGTGACCACAGAATCTCACTGACCTTCCACAGTCCCAGTTTACAGCTGTTGTCCTGGGGTGATTATTAGTAATGTCCCCTTTCACTCTCAAAAATTTCCTGGTTCAGACCTGACAAAAGGTCCAGCTCAAATGCCTACTCCTGTAAGCCACCCCTGAT